TACTTGAAACTTGAATCCAAACCTTTTCCTAAAATCTGTGTATATTTCTCAAGTTTGATTTTATTGAAATATTTTTACTCATCTGGAGGCATGCAGCTTTAAACAAATGTTGCTTCAATTTTCGGCCTCCTGTTTTCATCCGATAAAATGATTTTTTCTCAGAGTACCGATTCATGTTTTCGTTTATATTAAGCTTCCGGATACATGGGCGCTTGTATTCGTCCGCATGGTAAAACGTCTTTTGTTAACAAATAACTCAAAAGGCAGAGTTAACGTACACAAATCTTGTCTAAAGAATATTTCCAATATATCTGCGAAATAGAAACTTGTAGGTTGGTCCAGATAAAACGCTATTCTCAGGTAACATAGCACGCGATTATCGACGCAGAACATTTTTTTGAAACAAATTATCTTTTTATTTTTTATTGACTTGTATGAATTTCTCGAGACTGTGATCCGACATGTATTTTTTTAAACACAGATTCAGACATTTATCTCAAAAATAATTTACAGTTTTCAAAGACTTACACGGAACTAAAATAAATAAATAAATAGATAGATAGATAGATAAATAAATTAATAAATAAATAAATAAATAAATAAATAAATAAATAAATAAATAAATAAATAAATAAATAAATAAATAAATAAATAAATAAATAAATAAATAAATAGATAAATAAATAAATTAATAATAAATAAATAAATAAATAAATAAATAAATAAATAAATAAATAAATAAATAAATAAATAAATAAATAAAATAAATAAATAAATAAATAAATAAATAAATAAATAAATAAATTAATAAATAAAAATAAATTAATTAATAAAGATAAATAAATGAATTGTAGGAAGATTTAAATGCTTACAGCCGTTTTTGAAAAAGTGCAATTATTTACAAAGGCACAAAAGGAAAGTTTTTGTATGATTAAAGAGAATCTTAATTCGAAGAAATTGATGAATAAAACTGGTTGTCAGTATCCTACATTTTATTTATTTGCCCCTGAACGAACATATTGTTTCGCCACGAAACAAAGTGGTTAAGTTCTTAAATTAATTGTTTTATAAAATCTTCAAACTTAACCTTAAGTTTATCATCATCCGCCCCTTTTATTCGGACTCTTGGATATTCTATCTGTCCAAAAGGTGCATAAAATGCATGACTCACAAAAAGTACATCTTAAAGAAATTGCGTTTAACAAAAGAGTTCAAGCGAAAAAAGCCTACTACATAGAGATTAATTCATTATATATGTTCATGCAAGGGCAATATGATATAAAGCACAAGAAAGAAAAATACCCCCCCCCCCGCCGTAAATGCCAATTCTTAATCCAAACAGAGCAAAGAGCAGATAGCCATCTAGAGATTATAAACCTTTGTAAGAGCTCCGTTATTCTGGCCCATAAATCCCTTTTGATGTTTACCAGGAGTGTTGTTTATAGAGTGTTTCCGTTACGTTTTTCCCCAACAAAGATACCACATTTAAAACCTTTTATTGAAGAAGTCAATAGATCAACAACACTTGCTTAATCGTCAGAACAATTTCTTTGAATTGTGTGCGTGTTCCCCGTAAAGGAAGTACGATTGTACTTTAGTTTTATTTTACAGACCAGTTCGATAATTATGGGTTTCAGGTTGGTAATTAAGGATACCTGTTCCGGTTTAATAAGCTTAGCGTCAAAACATGAAATCTCCATTAGCGTGAACTCTTTGTGAAAATATATCCCTTTTTGAATAAAGGCATTGTGTCTGATAAATTTCGGATTGACGGATTTATAAAATAAACACTTTATTATATGTATAAGATGCCTACTTCTAGAGAGTAATCAAACAGATTTTCCATTGGGTTCAAAACCCTTTGGGTACATTTTATATTTTTATTTTCATCCTTTTTACTTTTTTCTTGATTTGTCCATCGTCTCTGTTTTATTTTAATAAAGAGATATTTGCAGTTTTATTAATACTTTTTAGTGTAAACTAAGTAAAAAAAGCTAGTTTAACAATTCAAAATGATTATATTTCTAAATCCGGATGGTAAAGCTTCGTTACCTTTTGCATGTATGTTCAGAATAGTATCTAGATAATTATAATTGAATATAAAGCGATGCCCCAATGATAATATGATGAATCCAACCGGTTGTCCGAGCTCAACTACATTCTATTTCATTAAAACTAAGGGATACCTGTTTGAGTTAAACATCATTCTTTTAAATATGCTTTTCTTTGCTTTTGTTTGGCATCTTTAAACACTTGTTTCTTACCACTTCTTAGCTAATGATGAAGGAAGTAAAACTAATTTTTTTAATTAATGAAAATATGTTTGTTGTTGCATGTTGCTGTTGTTCAACATAGCTGATACAAAATTTTAAGTAAAATCTTCAATTTTTTTCAAACAAGATAGTAAGCTTTCGCTATTCATTTAAAAAAAATGTTTTGGCAAAATAAGATTAAGTTGTCAATTATACATCTTATACCTTTACCTAAGTATCACCCTTATCATCAAATAAACTCAGTAAATTGCACATTTAAATCAGCAAGGTATGCAATTTTTAGGTTTAAATTACATTCTCATTAAGTCACTTATACTTTCAAGAAAACTTGAATTAATAGTCACTGTTTTGACTTTCTATAATGCAAATGATATCAGTTCAATAAAGAAATGGACATTTTCACATTTTTCTCTCATGCAACACTTAATGGAACGCTGTGTAAATTGCTCTCGTTGAATCTTCCCTTTTCCAGATGTTAATAATCAAACCTCAAGATTCAACGTTACGGATTTTTAATATGAGTACATGCACATTCAAAACAAATCAATTGCCAGGTGGTCCTGCTGTAGACATGATAAGTGCATGATTGCATTACAAAGCTGACAGTCTAGTACAAACGGACCTTCCTCTAAAGGCAAGGATGGAAGTGATGTGACATTTTTAACCCAAGGCATTTTCATTTCAGTGACTGAATGCGGAGACTTACACCTGATGAAGTCCATTTAACAATTGTATTGTAACAAATATGGTTACAAGAAATAGACAAACGTGTGATGCAATGACTATAATTGTACAGTGTTCATTAAAAAAAAGGAAATAAGAATATGCTGTTCAAACATTCTGACATGATTCCAACCTACATGATTCCAACCTACATGATTCAAACCTTTTGAACCGTTTGAACGCCGGAAATATACAAAGTGTTTTTACTGATTAGATTATCTTTCTACTGTTAACCCATTACTTCATGAGCATTTTGTGAAAAATGACTGTTTTCATTGAAAAGTCTTCCGTTACAAGTTCAAATTGCTATAAAACTATAAAAACTGTTTCAATACTAATCAAACTTGGCACAAGTGTTGACTGGACCATTGCCTTTGCAACAAAATGCTCAGGCTTAAATTTCCTGTTACCACGGCAACGCGGGGACATCTCAAAATTGCCAAAAATCACTTTTTTGCGTTGATTTTTTCCATCAAAATTGATTTCAAAGTGCTGCAACTTCTGATTGGATTGAAATAGAGTCAAATGCTTTTCAGCGTTGGTTACCCGTTACCTTATAATCGATCTGGGGTCATTTTTAGCCTCTCACAAGTCCAAAATTTTCTTGGCGAGTAGGGGGACTCCCCCCTTCAAACCCCCCAAACAGAAGGGGGCACATCCCCCTTCTGACAACCCCCTGATGTATCTTTTGGTTGGGGGCCAAGCCAAAAAAGTGGTCACTTTTTTTAAAACAACATTTCTCAAACAAAAACAAGTGTTGGGGGCCTAAATAAGGAATTTTTTCACCATTTGAGACACCAACAAGGTGGGGGGTGAAAAAGGCGTTAAAAGGCGTATATATCGCGTAATGGGTTAAGCAAACACAACGTATCATCTTATTGGAAAACAATTCATCATTTAACTCAGAAATGCCATTTTATGAAACAGCATTGTGACTTGTAAAAGTTGAAGAATGTTTTTAAAATACAGCCGCTGGTGTATTTCTTTTACGTTTCTGTCTTATGGCCTTTGCTAGGCACGAGGATGGTAATTTGTTCTTTCCAGTACCGTCCATGAACAGCTTTACTACAAAATGTTCAATTTTGCCGGTTTTTTTTTTTTTGGCGTTCTTGAGGGATTTTGTTTTTCCCTATTTTACTAAAATAACAGGATGAGTGTTAATTTGGTTCTTACTGTAATGTGTTGTTTTAAAAAATACACCATACCGAGACTGCAATTTATTCATTTTTTTGCACATGTTACGCAATCTATTAAGTGTTGAGAATTGAGTACCGCTCAAGCCGGTGCTAGGGGGCGTGAGGGATGTTACACTTACTCATTATCCCTAATGTATAGACTCAAACCAAGTTTGCAATTTTCATGTTGTTTGTAGCGATTAATGCTTCCGAGGGATCACTTTGTCTCCAGATTTTAAGCTTTAAGAAGTACATTTTGTTTATTTAATAACTAGATATTCGAGTCATAAGCTTGCCTCTATCTTTAAAGATAATAATGAATGCACAATTCAGGGTTTTTTTAATTCTACATTAGAAAGTGTACCTTTAACTAATTGAAATATAATGAAACCAAAGACAGCAGTATTTATCGAATAACGATCATTCTTTCAGAGCGGCAGGACCTCATGTTTGATTGTCAACTTCTCGTGATGCACAATGCTTAAACAAGCTTTTAGTTTTAAAAAAAACCTATAATTTTAAAAAATTAACTAAAGAGAAAATTTTTTGAAAACAATGATTTTGAATGGGAATAGATTTAAAATCTTTAAAGTAATTAAATTTGGGGCAAGATATCAAGGAAAAATATTTTGGACTTTTTAAAACTGTTTTTTTCGAGTTTTTAAAAATTTTATTGGAAAAAGAAAAATGAGTGCTTTTTTAAAAAAAAAAAATGAAAATTGATATGAAAAAAAAATGTTTATAAAAAAACTGACGGGTTTAAATGAAAAAAATTTTTAAAAAAAATTTTCCTTAATTGACAAAAAAGGACAAAATATTCTGTTAAAAATGATGATAAGAAAGAAGTAAATAAAGGAATCATGGAACTACACCCGCTCCTTGTGTTTCAAAGTGCCTGTACGTACACGATAATATTAAGACATCTTATAACAATCGGTGGAATCATTTTAACCCTGAACAATTGTGATGGTTCGATTATCGTTTCTGACTATTCAAAAATCAAGCAGGATTCAAATTTAGTTACGTCAAATCCGGTGAAAATAACCCGGAGCCTACTAGAATGCTCGCAGTACTGTACTTCCACTGAAAACTGTTGTGGTTTGAATTATCATAAAATAGAAAAGACATGCATTTGTTTATACGAACAAGACTTTGTAAATCCTTCTTTCGCAAACGAAAACTATATGGCAGTTTACATACACAAACAATGTATTCATTTATATGAGGTTTGTTTGATTTTGATATTCTTATTCAAAGCTGCTTGCTAATTAATTAATAAGATTAATAATAAGAGTAAATAGTAATAGAAATAGAAATAAATTTTAAAAAAAAATATTAAATTTCCAAATAAGTGATTATTCCTTGCAGAAAGTACTTTTTTCACAAAAATAACCTATACAACGTAATTTCGACAAAAGTAGTAACGAAAGTAACAAAACAATGTTTGGTAATAAAACATCAAAACTGTGATATTTTTTACTTCTACTACAACAAAGTTCCATCGATATTTGGAATATTACTTAGACAATACACATATTTATCTTGATTGCGCCCTCACCGCTTTAGGTCCGAGTCCCTCCTAAAGACATTGCATTCTTTCATGTAAAGAAGCTATCCAACTAGCTTTCGGAACGTCAGTGGTTCTACTCAGGAGCCCGTTCGAGCCTAAAATAATGCGAGGCTGAACACCCGAGGCGTTCCTCCTAGAGCTAGTAAAACTTAATTTAACTTTACGATTTGTGCGGGGTTTTGTTGACCTTTGTTTGTATGTTTGTTTGTTGTTAAACTATCCATAATGATTAACAAAATGAAGAAATGGGATCTTTGTGGCTCAATGGCTAAATTCAGCCAACTTGCCCTACAATGCTGAGGATTCGATTTAAGCCAGGGAATTTGGATTCTTTCATGTGCTGAATTCTTCCAACTACCTCATGTATTAAAGGCCGTTTTAAAAAAAAAATATTAATGTTAACAAACAAAAAGAATATTTCAGAGAATACTAGTACGTATGAAATTAAACAAGTGTGTCCCATCGAGCAAGAGAAAACACTTCAGCATTAGTATTTTATGTTTTCGTACATAATGTTCTGTTTGTATGTTTAAAACCAGTAAACCTCACTCTAGCTCATTAGGCTATTTTGTAGTTGCTGCCCCACTGTAATACATTCACCTTTTAGAAACAAGTATACACCTTTGAAAAGTAGTACTAGTTCCAACATGTTATCGTAGCTTTCTATTCATATTTATAGACAACGTCACAAGATCCATCCTCTCCCTCTAGCTCTCCTGCGCATGCGCCAACAACACCCTATTCCGGAGGTGACAGCGAGAGTGATGACTAATATCTATTATACTTTTATCAGATTCCAAGTTCAACAAAATCAGCAACCGCAGCAACAGCAACCTCTCAAGAAGCAACAAAAAAGAAATCATCCACTACGACAATAAGCATTCCTACCACGACAACAAAAACAACAACAGCCCTGGCCACAACAACAGCACATACACAATCAACGACAAAAAGTGTAGAAACCACGACGTCAACAACAACAAATGCGAAAACAACAACTAAAGCACCAACCATGCTAACAACAACAACAACAAACCTGCCAACAACAACAGTAACAAATGCGCCGGCAACAATAACAACAACGATAGCAAATGCGCCGACAACAATAACAACAACAACAGTTAAGTCTACCTCGCAGTGTGTAGCTGACGCTTTATTGTGCTTAACAAATATAATATATTTATTTAGTGATAACAATGTATATACATATGACACTATAAATGACATAACAGTAGGAGCGAAAAACTCTCAGAAAATCTCTGAAGTGTTCCAATCAACAAGCAGTAATGTGATAGGCGCTTATTCTCATTCGGACAGTATTTATCTTTTTACAGGTAACTATTAAAACCAGTCTGTAGACTGTCACACTTTCTTTTAGCAAACATTATAGTAATAAGAAAAAAAAAATCGATCAAACGCTTGTTCTAATTCAGACAGTATTTATCTTTTTTACACATAAATATTCAAACCAGTCTGACTGTCACATATTTTTAGCATAAATTAATGTCAAAATAATTTTCGATAAAATGCAAATAAAAGTGTGACAACTTACACATATCTATAAAAACTTGAACTGCGCCATCCCAATCTTCCCCCCTAGATGCCATGTTCGTTATTACTCGTGTGTCGCCATGTCGACATATCTTCACGTTTTCTATAATTGTTTGATTGGATAAAAAAGATATATTGACAACGCCTTTTCAAGGCATATCGACACATATTTTGTCCATTATGGAGTTAAGAATCGAAGAAAGTTACGCGAACATATTTCATCCACCAGAACAGCCTTGTTATATCTAGATCTGCTCCTTAAAATATCGACACATCTTAACATAATTTAAAAAAAGGACCTTAGTATAATATTCGAAAGTACCTAATTAATTTGTGAAAACTACATCATTTCCACAAAACTAAGAAAATAAATACACAGAATAGTACATCCTTGAAATGCCCTTTCAGCAATACTGTTCCATAGACACATTGAAAGGTCATTTGAGAATAAAAAGATATATTGTGTATATACTCGTATCTGCGGTGCATTTTGTAATTTTAATTTATCTAATTAGCAATTATACCAGAAAATTACTTCACGATGTTTGAATCCATTTCCTGTTTGTGTATGCAAATTACTTCAGCTAGTGACTGCTTAACAACCTATTATATACGTTTAAATTAGCAACACATTCGGATACCTTTGACAGGACATTTCAGTCAACAGCCAAATGTGCTATTCTGTCCATAACATTTGTAGGCTATGAAGGATACTGGACATTACTGTAATTCCTTGCAGTATAATGACCACATTTTTTTCTATAGCTATTGCTTCGGCATCGTATATATCAGTTTCATGCAGATTGACACAATCAAAGAGGTTTTGTTTAGGTTAAGAATGGAACGAAACATTCTTTTTTACCTGTAAATTTGATTGGAGGGCTTTTGTCCTATTTTTTTCTTGTGAAGGCTTGATTAAATTGTCCAATATTCTATTTTAATTAAGATGTGAAAAAAATTTTTTCCGATTCCCAAAATTAAAACAAAAAAATACATTTGAATAATTAAAAAAATCTATTTGAAATGAGTTTTAAAAGTTTTTAAATTTGGCCCCCCTTTAATTTTGGGAAATACGATATTTTTAAGGGGGCCGCTTAGCATATTTATTTTGACTTTTTAAATGTTTTAAAAGTATTTGACACCATTTGCGTATTTGGGGGTTGGGCCCTACCAATAAAATAAAAATACAGACCTTTGGCCTGTACAATAGAAAAATACAAATTAAAAAAGTTATAAAAATTATTGTATATGGGCTTAAAATGGGCCATATATATTTTCAAGTAACCAATATAGTACATTTTGCATTTGCCAAGATGTCTTTCAAACAACAAATAAAAATTCCCAGTATCATAAACAGTATACGAAAAGAAATAACCTTTGCTCGGAAGACGGACAAAACCCTACAAGTCAAAACCCTACACCTCAAAATTTTAAAGGGTGGACAAAATCCCACTTTTTATTGATTATTTGTATACACCATTGATTGACGATAAAATAACCAACATTATTGATGTTAATTAAGAATGTTTACCCTTTGATTTTTATTCAACAGTTAGTAATATTTGAAAGTTTACCATAACAGTTTGTAATAATAATTTTGTACCATTTATTATAATTCAATCATATTGCATTGTAATTTGAAATAAAATATAACATAGAATTAATCGTCATGATCAAAGAAAAGATGTAGAATAATTAAAGTTACTATATTAAACTTTAGTAAATCTTTCTTTACAATAACTTTCATGATCAGAGTCATATGAATTGCATGGTAACAAATTATTAGAAAGTGTTCGGTCATGTCCACTCTTTAAAATTAAAGGTGTGGGGTTTTGTACACTCTATAAAACACATGTGTGGGTTTTGTCCACTCTATAAAATTTTGAGGTGTGGGGTATTGACGTGTGTTTTTTTTTCTTACATTCCATTTGCACGTTAGCTGAAACGTCCTTTCAAAGTAGTCCAGTCTCTAGTTATGCATACCAACAATACGAAGATGGACCTGACTGTTTGGCAATCAATTTATTTTTTTGTTTTTTTAAATGTCAATTTAAAATAATCATTGGGGAAAAAATACTAAAAGCTAAAAAACCAGGTACTCGTATAGGGGGTAATTTTCAAATCTACGGAAAAATTTAACCCCTTTTAAAATCAAAGGGGGCCACCAGAAGGGCTAAAAATGGCCCAAATTTTTTTTCAGATATGTAAACCCTTTTAAAGCATTAAATTTTTAAAATTTTTTTCTGATGGGAACAATCAAAGCAAATTCGTCCCAAAATTCCCTTTTTTTTAGGGAGGATTTTGGGCTTTGTCAAATCTATTTTTGGGGAAAAAATAAGTACCCCTTTCCCCTAAAACATATTTGTCGGGGAGCCTTAATTTTTACATTCCAAAAACCTTTATAGGGAAGACCTCCATGGCCGCGTTAATTACAGGTCGACTCCAAATATGAATTTCAATCACGCTTCATTGACAATCTTGGGGTTGGGTTAGTTCAAGCTTCCCTTCCTTTATTATTATTAAAATTTATTATGATGTTAAATGAAGTTTTTAAATGGCAATGATTGGTCTTTAATATTAATCATTTTGTTACGGAAAATTAAGATACCATTTTTTGTATTGATTAAAGAATTGTTCTTATTGTTGTAATACACGCCCTGAAAATAGCAGAGCTACCTCTTTTGGAGGTATTCGATAATCGCCCAGCTAGTGCCTGTCGCCAAATATAAGTGTCTACAAAGGTAAAGTGTTTTCTTATTATACAATTGTTTTGTAATCTCTGCATCGAAAATCGAGAAATGAGGATTTTATTAAATGTTCACGGGAAAGTTGACTTGAGGAATTCAAGTTTTGAAATTGACTTTATAAAGGACACTTTAGCGTATTGAATCCTAAAACAATTCTTTTGCCCTTATTATTTTAACCAGTTTGGCGAATATTTAATCAAAATCTACAGTAAATAGCATTCTTTCGACTTTTCAATGTGAGATTACAAAATATGAATAAATAAAAAAATTTATTCTTTGTTGTCAAAAACTTTTACGGACACGCACTTAGTCGGGATAATCGATAAAAGATTTAATTTGTACGTTTTACCTCAAAACGAGGTGGGTTTTGTTGTCACCAGCATAAGTAAGGGGTTATTTCAAGCTTTAAATTACTCATTAGATTGCATTTGGTGATGTCTAAAACATCTTAAGTTAAAAGTCATATGCATGTACTTTTGCCTCTTTAGATTTGATAGCGACGAAAGGTTTTAATTTCAATATAATACTTGACGCCATTTTTGTTTTGTTCTGCGGCATGCGATACCTGGTAGTATTGACTCAAATAGATCAAAAGAGGTGCAAATTAATTTCAGCATCTTGTATCAGAACCTAGCTCTAAAAACCCCCTCTTAAAAAGTAATCAGACATAGCTATACAATTCAGGGAAAAAAATCAAAACTATATTAATTAAGCTCTATAATTATTTAATAAAAACGTCTATTACGAAATGTTTATTTAAAGATATCATTTGATTTCATAACACCAATAAATCATGCCAGTTGTGTTGTTGTTTTATTATTTAAAATCTTTTGTTTAAAAAAGTATGTCTTCTGAATATTTTTTTGCAGGCACTAATGAAGTACATTTGTATTCTTCTGCAAGCTCAACAAGCTTCCATTTCCAAAGCACAGTAACATGGTCCGAACATTTTGGGACAAGTGACATCACATCTATTGATGACGTCATTTACACGTCATCTGGAGAACAATACGTGATAAATGGTGATAACATGTACATCGTTTCTAGTAATGGGAAAGTGGAAACTTCACCTCTTGACAACAATGGAAATAAAAACGTTTACAAAAGCAAGAACTTTAACGAACGACCATTGTCAATCACAGGGGCATGTGCAATAGATGCAGTTACTCACGCTTTCACAGATTCTTCGTTGTTTTTGTTTGACTTTGAGACAAAAAAATGGACAAGATACAACAGTGTAACTTGCTGAGCGATGGAACTACCAATCATTGACTGTACGTACAGTATATAACCACTCGATATGCCTGTATTTCGAGAAATGGTATGTAAGCCAAATCTATGTGAGACATGTATAACTGTGCAACTTTGAGTAATTTGCTGACAATTACAATTGTGTATGACTTTATCGTTCAAAAATCTGTACAAATATAATAATTTAATGGCGTGTCACTTTTTCGATGAATGGATTAATTAGCTAGCAAACAGAAACAAATAAATAAGATCACATAATTAAGATTTTATACAGGCGCCTTACACATTTACTATTTTTGCGGGTCATTTACACCATTTTGTAAATCATACATGCCGCAGACAAATGCAACATTCCTGAAATTCTGATTTTTCTCAGTGCTGCTCTTGTTGATGAGATTATGGTAGGATTAAGTCTTTGTGAGCTACAAATTTACTCATTGTTCCAAATGGCATATGGATCAGATGGTGTAAAGTGGATACAAATGTATCATAATCAACTTACAAGCATGCTATTGGTGGTTATTCGTCCAAGCGTATTATAGATAAAAGTTTGAAGAGGGCATAAAACATTTTTGTTTTATGGAATAATAACGTACACGTATGAACTGTATCAATGTTTATTTATTTCAACTGCATACAAATGTCATGACTTCAATTATGTTTTGTGATTTATTATGTCAAATGTCATAAAATATTAAGAGAACAAATGAACCTTATCACATGTATTGTATACTGTGACAAGTGAAAAAGATATAATTCATGCATTTTTCGAGAAATTTTCTCTGGAATTATATTCTGTCAAAACAATACAAATTGTATAATGGATCATTCACTGAACCGACTTTATTTGTTCGTAAAATATTGTGTGCACAGCTGTGAATTGGAATTTATGTTTTGTCCAGTGTATAACAATATTGAAGTTGAAATAATACGAACTTAAATGTTACCCAGTACTGGGAAAAGTAAAAAACTCGAATTAAATTTAATAGGTTCTGAGGCGTTCTGGCTTCACAAGCCCGCAAATTGTCTCTGGCTGAAGCAAAATTTTATATTTGAAAATCTGAATAATGAATCAGACTGTATACTGGAATTGCAGAGGTTATGAAAAAGAACACAATGGAAACGTTAAAAGAGAACGGAAAACGTACCAGAGCATGTCCAGAGACATAGGTTGTAAATGCAACCTTTCATCCACGACTGGTCCCTACCACCAACCTTCAGCATGCTTTAACATTTGAACATGGTTATTGTGAAATAATTAATTGAGATGCAACCTAAGATCTGTATTTATGATCATAGAACCTTCAATGTGACACGTTCATGTCACTCGTGATATTTGTGATAATTTTTTGACCCAGAGGCAGCTGCGATATGACGGATTTGCTGTCCATTCATCACTGTTTATAATTATTGCATTCTTTTCTATGTAAAGAGGGATATTATTTTGAGATACACTTGCAAATTCGCTATTAATCAGACTGCTCGTTGAAGACACCTTAATCTTTCTATTTTTAAGAATTTGTGTTTAGTATAACCTTTACTGAGCATCACTTTAACCCCAGTTTTATTAGTTTTATTATTTTTAAGAAATTTGGGACAACAGACCCACATACTATTAACATTGGTGATATTATACAGCCTATGTCAGAGTATAATAGATCTGGAAGATGTTGGACTTCTATAAACAGATTTAATTTATTCTCTTTCACGATTTTCAAAGATTTATTTTTCCTTAAATCGCTTTAGAAGGATCGCCTTTTCGAGAATTAGTATAAAAAAGAGAAATATTTCAAGAAGATTCGAAAGTATATATCATTTTTGGAAAATGAAGTCAAAGTATTATAATGGAAAATGAAGTCCGAAATTGAAATTAATCATTATTCTGTTTTGCAATTATTCAGTTTGAGATGGAAATTGATATTGACATGTTCTTAGTCAATTACGTTTGCATGCTTTTATACAGAATTGATTGTCTTTTAAACTTTAATTTAATTGCATTACAATGTTTGATAAATCGGCAAACAGCACATATAACATTTGTTGTACAAACATCCGATATGAAAGGAGTAAATAATATGAAATTTTTTAACAGAGGACAAACTTTTACATTATTTATTCTTTTTTATTGATATGAAAGGTACTTAATAAATTTAATATTTCAGCGTTATGTATGACTTCATGTCTTTTTAAAACGAAAAATTAATGTACTCATATTTGTCATCACTTGCATCAATTAAAAGAAAAACAGACAATTATTGTTTGCTTATTCGTTTTGTTCAGACTTAGGAACAATAGTGATAACCGGTGTACTTAGTTTTAGGAAAAGCTCTTTGTTGAACGTCAGATAATTAGAAAATCATGCTTTAAGATATACAAGTGAAACTAGATTAAAACATTCACCAACAGCAACTTGGAACAAAATATTAAATTAAATTAAACTAAACTAAATTAATACTTAAACTGATTAATCTTTCCATTTTGTTTGATTTTTTTAATCATTATTACAAAATATCAAAAAATACGGGGGAAAAAACTAACAAAAAAAAACAAAAACAAAAAAAACAACAAAAAACCAAACAACAAACAAACAAAACGGTCCTAATAAAAAAATAGTCGAATGATTGTTTATATTAATTCTTAACAGCACTGCACGCATTGATTCACCAATTATGTATTTATCAAAGAAGTCAAATGGACTAGACGTGTCCTTAAATTGAAAGTGAATAACGAAGAAGGAGTTTCATACATATGAAATTAAACGGTGTATAAATAGCAATGTTAAATGAATAAAATTTAAAAAATAATCAATTTGTATTTACTTAGATGAAGTTTAAGTATTGCTGCACAAAATTATTAATGTTCGTGTATTGGTATACATCGTTATGAAGAAGTGTAAGACTGGAATCTGATGGTTCTTGCATTCAAGTATGGATAAGGTTCGCAATGACAAGCTACTGCAAGCATTCCTATGTAACAATGTTTTGAAATACCATGTATGTGCAGTGAAAACGGGTTGGTCCAGATGTTCGTATACTTTCTTTCTAATTTTGTTAATAATATGCCGTGTTTGATGAATTATGTATCTTTACAAATTATCATCTCCCCACAATAGGATTCAAGATCAAATCCATGAAACACAACAAATTGTTTAAAACCCTAACACGTGTTTATTTTACCGTCAGTGTCCCCGTCCTACCGCTGTTAATACAAATCTTCTTAAAACTGGCATTTACAGTCGAATTCCAATGAAATATTCCACTAAAGTTAAGTTCAGTTATATTGACGTCTACTGCAAAAATGACGTCGTTTGAATATTAGAAAGTAGAATAAACAACAATTGAAAAAGCGGTTACAACGATATGATGAATTGCAACTTTCGAGCTGAAATCAGGACAAATATTTAGTTCTGTTACTATCTCGGCAAAATACCTACAGGAAATTCTTAATCTTATACAGAAAGCAAGAAGAAAGAGTTCTACTAGCCGGACCCTTCAAGTTGCACGACAGATTCTCTAATAGCCGGACTTACATGAAAGATGATGAAAAGTGAGGCCGTGGTCAAACGGTGAGGGCGTCATCCCTGCCGTCAATTGGCGCCGAGTTGGAGGCGGACACTTTTGTAAAAAAGGGGGAAGTAATTTCTCGTAATTTAAGAAAAATAAGCGATGGGTCCAATGGATCTAAAATGGCAACGAGATGGACCGGAGCTTGATGGAGTTCCGGAAGTTTTTTCGGCGACGGATACAGCGGGGAAACATGTGTATTACTATGAACTGAGACCTGGCTCCATCTTTCTGATCCAGAGACTCGCTTTCAGCCGGGATTATGGCGCCTGCTGGCATCGCCACCACCAGAGATACCTCATGTATCCCGCCGACAAGTAAATGTTTATGGTGTTTGCAGACTGCCGCGTCATCCGTTACCATTTTGGCAGACCGTGAATGTAAAAAAGTATGGGTAGGTTAGAGCATTGATTAAAATATCGTAGAATATATGAAACAATATGAAGCATATCACTGTCATGATAGTATTCTAGCGCACAACTTTAAACTGTTATAGAACGTTTTATTTCATGGATTATTGTCATCATGATTATTTTATTTCCATTATGGTGTACACACATTAACAAGAACTTGTCAGTGACACTATCGTAAATTGAACAAAAAAATAGATAAATACAGAATCCCTAAAGAAAGCCCAACACGACAAAATTGAAAATGTTGCAGGCTCGGTTTGATTGAGCCTGTTCATGGACGGTACTGGAAAGTGCAAATTACCGTCCACGCCCCCTAGCACCGGCTTAAGCAGAATTCAACATTTAAACATGAAATAGCAAAATTTTGAATTTAGAAACATCCGCAGATGTGTTCATACGGCGGTTATCATGGAACCTTCAATGTGACACTTCCGTGCCATTCCATGAAAAGCGGCGTATGGTCCCTCTCGAACACCTATATCCTTTTAACTCAGATGTGATACTTGGAAAGAACGCGAAAACCAAATGGTGCTAAAGCGAACGAGTAGGCAAGATGGCTCATCGTTCGGAATGCCAGGGCACCGATTTCTAACTGTGTACTTGCAGTCGTATGAGAGGAAGCGTTGTACTCCTTGTGTAATATCCCTTGCCTTTTCCTGTCAAGCACCCACTGGGGATCTCGCCGCAGTAACTTTAAAAACGATAATGGCTTTTCGGCATTTCTAGTTGGGTGGTTCCAATATTCCTACTTGAATAATGTTGAATCACCCTTGGGATAAGTTGCCTGTTTTTTAAATTTGTCTTTTGACGTCTTATCTGTGATACGCATGCTTACGGAGCTACAGACTGTGACTGCATCATCAAGAATTATCCTGCTGAATGTTGACGCGGGACGTTTGAGGATACCTTTATCAAGAATTATCCTGCTGAATGTTAACGCGGGACGTTTGAGGATACCTTTAAATCGGACATTAATTGTATATGTCTGCATTGTTGTTTTGTACGATTTACAGAGGAAATGGATTGAAGTCCATTTTTCATGGAGATGAATTTTTTTAACAGCAAAAAAGATATGAAGGCGAGTCTACGAACATCTGGATCAATTCACGTATTAGAGCATTCAATTGTACACAAAAGGC